CCCAGAGCCGCTGGCCCAGCCTGCCCTGATGGTCAGCTTTCTTCCCAGGGCCGGGCAGAAAACTCTGCAGGTACCCACCCCCCACGAGCACTGTCCACGCACCAGCGCTTGGCGCCTGAATGAGTCGTCATAAGCAGGACCGGTAAAGACAGAGGGGGGGACCAAGCATCAGGGCTCCGGGGGCAGCTTCCTCGCACAGGCCCTTTCTGGGCCCCGCCCTCCCGGGGAGCTCACCGGAGCGCAAGTTGGTCATGGTGGACGGCAGCTGGAGGTAGGCAGGGTCGTGGGTGGTGACTCCGATCTCAATGGAGCCAGCCCACTTGTCCACCATTTTGTCAATGCGCACCTGAAACACCTCTCCGTCCCGCAGGGCCCTGCTGCTCAGCACCACGCCATGGTTGAAGTCATCGGTGGCACTGAGGACAGGGAACAGGGACTCAGGCGTGAACACACGCTCTGCGCACGCCAAAGCTTCGCCCGGCGATGCCTGCCCGACACCCGCTGCCCCGAGCCAACCAGAGGAGCTTCACTCTACGCGAGGCTCCCCCCCTTTCCTGTCCAGAGCTCCCCAGATCAGAATCCCTCTGCCTCCTGCTCTCCAGCCCCCCATCCCATCAGAGCCCCTTCTGCAGGCTTCTCCCCACCCCATGGGCCATACTGGGGCCTCAGGGCAGTGCGTCCCTCGTGGGTGATAGCTGCCTTCTGCCCGCAGTTGGGGTGGAAAAGCAGGCGCTCGGGCTCTGCCTGAGCAGCAGGGGCAGCGCGCCGGAGGGCCCCCTCCGGAGACAGCGCCCGCAGGATGGCATTGTTCCGGCGCAGACGGTCACTATGGTTGTTATCGTGCACGATGGTCACCTTCACCGCCATCCCGTACAAGTCCACCACACCGTACACCACTGGGGGTGTCAGTGGGGTAGCCACGCCTGGGGGGAGTGTGGGGGGGACCAGCATCAAAGACAGGCAGGACAAGGAGGTACAGACCCCCCACTCCCGAAAGCCCTGACCCAGCAGCCCGCTCTGGGCATCCCTTTACCCTGGTCGATGCCGTTAATGAAGAAGTGTAGGGCAGAGTTGGACTTCCTCATGAGACCAATGTGGTCACCTTCCTAGCCAAAGCAGAAAAACAAAGATCCAGAACCCATCCCCCCATCAGGCTCCAGACTTGTCCTGGGGCCCCTGAGAACAGAGGGGTTGGTTCTAAAGCCTTCCCACCAGCCCAGGCCGCCAGGGAACGGCTCCAAAGGCGCCGGAGTCTTGAGCCCCCGAATGCTCCCGGAAAGTCAGTCACAGCGTGACGCCCCCTTACAAACATCCCCTTACCCGCCTCTCTGAGCAATATATAAAGTATTAACAGGCTCGGTTCAGACGTTAGAAAAAAAATTTTAAAAGGGAAAAAAAAAATACCACCTACCAGAGACAACGAGTGAGCTGCTTGCCTCTGGCCACGACCCCACACGGCCACACAGTAAGAGAAAGTGACCCTCTGATTCCAAAATCTGAGAGCCTAACTATCGCACAACCCTGCCTTCTCAGAAGGAACCTTCAAGCGAGAGAGCAGAGGCCTTGCTCTAGATCGCAGCAGAGACTGTGGTGCCCCGGCAGAGATGCAGGGGGACGGGGCTGCCCCGGACAGTGGCCCGGACTCTTGCACCCCGCCCCCCCTCACCTGCAGCTCGTCCAGACTGAATTCACAGTACTCCCGGCGAGTGCCCTTGCCATTGGTCAGGATCCCGCAGCCACTCATCATGATGGTGCCTGGGGGAAGGTAGACACCCGGCTAGGGCCTGGGCCTCCCTCGCCTTAGGAAGGCGCCTCCGCCCTGTCAGGGGCTGGTACCTGACTGCAGGTTGGTCATGGTGGCTGGGTACTCCAGGTTGTTGGGGTTGTGGGTGGTGACACCGATCTCAATGGAGCCCGACCACTTGTCTACGAGCTTGTCGATGCGGATCTTGGGGGGAGCAACAGCAGAAGGGCGAGGCGGGGCGTGTAAAGGCTGAGAAAGGACCCTCGGCCCTCAGCTGTTCCCTGAGCCCTACCCTTCCACCGTCAAGGATGGAGCCCCATCTTTGGTTCCCGGAGGGTGAGGGGCCAGCCAGCGCCCGGGAGCTCGCACACCTCAAACATCTCATTGTCCCGGAGCGGGCGATTGGTCATGACAACCCCGTTGTTGAATTCATCCAGGGGCCGGCGGCGCTCGGCGGTCTTATTGTTGTTGCTGAGTTTGATGAGCGTCCCGCACTTCTCGTGAAAGAGCAGGGCATCGTTGGAAGTGAGGATGGGCGAGGTGGCGGTACCGCCAGACCCCAGTCCTTCCCCTGTTGGCGGGGAGCTCAGGTTCACATTTAGGAGCCCCCCGTTGTAGGCAGACAGGATGGCGTTGCCCACCACCTCGGAGAGCTCCATGCTGGCAAAGTCTACAGCAGCGGGACGGGGGAGGGAAGCTGGAATGAGGTTCTACGCCCTCGGGCTCACCACTCTCCCCCTAGCCCTCTCCTGAGGCCCCTCCCCTCGCCTCGTCCACCTCACTTCCCACTCCCCAAAGCCTCCCAGAAGCCCTCACCATGATGCGACTCAAGGCTGTTAGGAAACGTCTCCGGCCGGGACTGCGCTGGGGACACCATGAAGGCTGGGGACCAGGCGGGATGGAAGGGGAATAAGGGTTCAGCCACTGCTGCAGGGCCCACAGACAGGAGAACCCCCTGCTCTAGTCCTTTCTTTCCCCTTCAACAGACTCCGGGGGGGGGGGGGGGGGGTCTGAGTGACCCTGTTCACACCCAGCCTTGTTTGTCACTTGTTCTCACCCAGGCCTTCAGCCGCTCCCTCTGCCCCACCCCTCCACCACTGCCCTGTGTTCTCACCTTCACCCCCAGAGGTCCCCTGTTCAGTCAAGGCGGAATCTTCAGGGGGCGCGGAGGGCTCGAGGGGAGGTGTGGGGATGGGAGCAGGGGGGCTGAAACCCGGCTCCGGGGGAAGCACGGTAATCTGGGTGCACTTGCCGTAAAGGTCCACGACGGCCCAGACACGAGCGGGGAGGCCCGTGGCGGCCACCCCGCAATCCCGCCCGTTCACCCAGAGCCGCAGCTCCCCGGCAACTGTGCGCTCCACGCCCACACGGTCCCCTTCACCAAGCTGGTCCAGGTCCTGACCGTACTCCTCCAGCACAGAACGTCCATCCCTCAATACCGAGCAGCCTGACACTACCCATGAGCCCCCCTTCAGTCCCGTGGCGCTGCTTGGGAAGTCCAGCACACTGGGGTCCAGTGCCGTCACCCCAATCTCAATGGAGCCACTCCAGGAGTTGACCTGTGATAAGGGTGGTGGACAGAGGCTCAGGATGGGCCACCATGGGTCTCCCACCACTAGGAACCCACGTTTCACAGACCACCGTGTCCCCTTCTTCCCACATCTCCGACAGCTAACTGGCTTTTCTCTCCTGAGACGTGAAACGCTACTCCAGAGAGGCAGTGGTCCCTGTGACTCCTCCACCACCCCGGGTTCACAGCTCTCCATGCCCACGCCCCTACCTCTCCTATACACTCTTCTCCTCCCCCTGGCCTGATTCACTCCTAGGCTCTGGCTCACATTCCCTCTCTTCCCACATTCCACCTCCGTGCACCTAGCCTCTTCACCAAATCACACCCCAAAGCACGCACACCTCCCTCTCCCCGAGGGTCTCTCCTCGCCCATCTTTCCGCCCGAGTTCATCCTCCAGGGGTTGGTTCTTTCCTCGGTTCTCCCCTCTCCTCCTGTCACATCCCTGACATCCTTCCATCCTCTACTTCCCAGAAACGATTCCGGGAGATCTGGTCCCTAACCATTCCTGGGGATGCAGCCCCGTGTCCCTGCCCAGCTCCCGGGTGTGCAGGAAACTCTAGCTCTCCTCATCCCTCGCCCCGTCATGACGAGCGAACGTTTCTGCTCCATGCGCCCCTCCTGCCCGTCGCCCGGTGCCCCGAAGGTCTGTCGGCAGCCGGCGATGGGGACTAGTCTGGACCTCCTACCCCGTGTCTCCCGCTCGCCCCCTCCCACCACCCTCCACATCTCGGTTCCGCGGGCCCCGCTCCGCACCTTGCGGTCGATGCGGACGGTGAAGACGCGTCCATCGCGCAAGGGTTCCCGGCTCAACACCAACCCGTGGTTAAACTCTTGGCCCGGCTGCTGCCGCCGCGCCGTCCGCCCACAGGCCGACAGGCTCACCAGGCGCCCAGTGCGCGGGTGCAGCTCCCCGCCGCTGCCCAGCCCCCCGCCGGACCCCGGCCCTGCGCCGCTCCCGCCGGGGCCACCCCCCCCACCCGGCCCCGGCCCGGGGCCTCCCCCAGAGCCCCCACTCCCACCCGACCCCGCCGCCATCGCCGCTGACACCGGGGCCGCGCGACAGCCGCGCTTGGCGGCACCGTGGCAACCGCGGTGCACAGACACCCGGAGGGAGTAGGACTCGGGGCTGGGGCCGGGTATGCTTTACGGCACTGCCGGGCGATGAAGCATCCCGAGCTAGGGAACTAATGACCACCACGGTGGGAACGGAAGGACGACGGGGTCGGGCAGGCTTGCTTTACGGCATGGCGGGGTGACAGAGTGGCTCCGACAGCCGTGCCGACTTGGGCAGGGAGCTTTTGCGACAGTGGAAGAAACGACCGCCGCAGGCATCTTTACGACGCAGGGGGTGCTGGCCCCCCACTTCAGCTTTGCGACAGCCGCACCGACCACCCCGCCCTCGCCGAGGCAGGCGACACCTCGAAGTATTCGCTTTACGGCAAGAGGAGGAGTAGGGGGGGGGGTTCCTCCCTTCGAGCCTGCACGCTTTGGAGCGGGTACCCCGAGCGGCGTCCGTAGGATTCCGAGAAGGGACCTGGTAGCTTTATAAATGAAAACCTTTGCCCTGCGCACCACCGAGATCGGCTATGTTTCGCGACACTGTCGTAACCCCTCCACTTTGTATCACACCTCTCGTGAGAGGCAAAGCGGGCCGACTTTTGGGGGGGGTGGGGGATGGGATAAAAGGGCTCGCGATATTTCTAAATAAGCCCACCTTGAACTCCAATCCAGACAAACCCTTAAATCTTAACGCCACGGATAGAGGCCCAGTGAAACCCTGGCAGGTGTTTCCAGTAACGGCGCTGACGGTCTCCCCCCAAAACCCCCGAGCTGTGAACAAGCTCCCAGCCCAACTCTCCCGAGCTCGCGCCGAGGTGGGAGGACTGTGACGTCACAAATGGGGCTTCTCGCCCCGTGACCAGGACCCCTGATTGTGATTGGATAACTCGGATGAAGGCGGTGATGGGGAAGAAGGGCGGGAACAAATCCCAGAGACAAAGAAAGCTGGCCTTCGGGTGGGAAAGAAAGGGAGGGGCGACCGGAGGGGACCCCAGCCCGAGGTCCCTATATAAAGCTTGATTCCGGGGCCGCGGCTCTAGGGAGCGGAGCGGAAGGGTAGCCGGGCCTCCGCCCGAGCGCCCCCAGCCCGCCGCGGTGGGGGCGAGGCTTCGGGGCGGGGCTATGTGCCACCAGGAGGCGGGGCGGGGCAGCTGAGAGTGGCCCCCGGGTGGGGCCATGGAAAAGCAGGAGGCTCCGGGGGCTGCTGGCGGCCTCAGTGGCGAATCCCCGGGAGGGGCAACCAAGGGTGTGCCAGGAGGAATCGGAGGAGTCGAGGCAGACGCCGGGCCGCCCTCCGGTGTTGTCCTGTTTCACGGTTCTGGGACCTCCCTGCACTCCGGGGGAGCCGTAACTTGCTGTCCTGGTTCGAGCCGGCCCTCCGGGGGGGGAACAGTCCTCGGTTCCGGGCCCAACCAGCACCCTGGGAGGGTTGCGGACCGCAGCGCTGGGTCCCGCACATACCCTGACGGATTAAATGCCTCCTTCCCTGGAACCAGTGTATGCGGGACCTGCCGGTCCCGGTCCGGGTGTTCTGGGGTGTTCAACTCGGAATGCAGTCCACCGCGCTCCGGGTCAACTCTCTTGCACTCCCACAAACCTTGTGAGGACCGGCCCCGCAGCATCCTAAAAACCAGCGCCTCCATCTTTATGCAGAAATCCCCCAGTGCAGAGAAGTAAGGAGTCCAGCTCAGCGGGGAGCCGGCGCGGAGCGGGGCGGGAGAGGTTCCGGACACTGGCGGGGGCGGAGCTAGGGGAAAGGGGCGGAGTCTTAAGAACTGTGAAGTGTGAGCGGCTGAGGACAATTGGGTGGGAAATCTGAGGTCCCAGGCCTTGGGGGAGAGTAGCAGGTACCAGGTAAATGCTGGTTCCACAGTGCGTGATAATCATCAGGTGTAACCCCCATCCTTAGGCTCCTCTGCCCCTGACACGACGAGAGGGTACAAGAAAAAGGTTTTGAGGGGCGCCTGGCTGGCTCAGTCGTTAAGGTTCTGCCTTCAGCTCAGGTCATGGTCCGAGGGTCCTGGGATCAAGCCCCGCATCGGGCTCTCTGCTCGGCGGGAAGCCTGCTTCTCCCTCCACTCCCCCTGCTTGTGTTCCCTCTCTCGCTGTCAAATAAAGAAATACAGAAAGAAAGAAAGAAAAAGGTTTTGAGTGATTGAAAGAATGAGGAAGGGCTGTGACGAGGAGGTCGCTGGGAGGTTTCCTCCCCCTTTCTTGTGTCCTTCCCCCTACTCCAGGAAGAAGTCCCAGCGGTGGGATGAAATGAATATCCTGGCTACCTACCACCCCGCTGGCAAGGATTATGGATCTACGAAGGTGGATGAGCCCAGCACTCCCTACCACAGGTGCTGAGCCCTCAGTCCAGACCCCTCCCTATTCAAAGAGGGTGGGGGGGAGGCAGAGCGGTCTCAGGGCCTGGATACTGCCTGCTGCCCGCCTCTCAGCACTGCTCCCTCCCTCTGATGCAGGCTGCAGGACAGTGACGAGGACCTGCTTGGGGCATCCTCTGGCTGGGCAACTCCCCAGGCACTGGCGGAAAGGTGAGAGGCCCGCCAGAGATCAGTAGAGATCTGGGGCCTCTTCCTTCCTCCACCCCTGGGGTCAGAGCCTGTTCTGCTTCTTGGCCACCACAATGGGAGGTACTTCAATTCCCATCAGGAGTAACCAAGGCCAAGGTGGGGGAGTTAGCCCTCTAGGCGCCATCTACCACCTGGGCCTCTTGTCTTCTCCCCTTTGGCGCCCCCAACTAGTCTCCCTCCCCTTCAGGTTTGCAACAATGGACAATTTCTACCCCAAGGTCCTGCAGTACAGTGATAACAGAAGCTCAGGGTCTTCAGCCAGCTTTTCCAAGACACGTGAGATGAGGGGTAGGGGCTGAGTGGAAAGGGGAGGCAGAGTGAACCCTCGGCAGCTGCCTGGAGGGAAAGCCAAGCTCTTACAATGGCCCGCAGACTCCAGTGATTTTGACAAGCACCGAAAGTCACACTATGATGAAGGAAAGTTCCTCAAGGCTCAGAGAAATCTTCCCTTCAGTAATAACAAGCACAGCAACGAGGCCAGTGCCAGTATGGGTGGTGGCAGTCGGGGCGTGATGCTGGACCCAGAGCCCAGGCCTGTGGAGAAAGGCTGGACGGGAGGACTGGCCAGAGGAGTCAAAGATGAGATTGGCCTGGTGACCAGGAACCACATCCCAAAAATCAAGGGTTAGCCATGGTGCTTGGTGGGGGGGGGGGGGCAATGGGAGGTGAGCCCAGGGAAGACAGAGGGCAGCTGGGGTGGGGTCCTCAACACAGCTGTCCTCGGGAAGCCCAAGAGAGGCGTGGGGGATGGAGAGGTCGTGGGGGTTTCCTAATACGGGAGGAGGGCATAGAATGGAGATGAGAACCCGGGGCCTGAGCTTCTCCTCTGTGCTGGGGGCACCGTTATGGACACCTGGGGATCCTGGATGCCCTAGGTGGCTGTAAGACTCAGAGTGATTGGGGTGACTCTTCAGATTCCCCTACCTTCAGAAATCGGTCCCCACCTTCAGCCACCATTGTGTCGGACCAGGAGATTGATCTGCAACGCAAGGAGTATTATAGCAAAGGGAGGTACCTCAGGTGCTCTCCCCACCCAGAGCTCGAGGAGGACACAGAAGATGAGCCTGAGCAGCAGGACAGTGAGAGCTGGGCTGGGTCAGCCTGGGGCAGGGGGTGCTGACAACCAACAGACTGATGGGTGCCCCAACCTTGATCCCCTGATCCTTCCAGCCTCCGCAAATTTTAACTGGGTGAGTGAGAATCCCATAAGCACTGAAGTCCGTCTGCTGGACCACACAGGAAGCCCCGTTCGGGATCCCCGGACCCCCGAAGAGTCCCTGGCAGGGACAACATCGCAGCCTGGTGAGGGCACCAGGCCGCAATGGCTGGCTCTTGGCCAGCTCCCAGCCCCCCAGCCCCCCTTCTTTGCAAACCAGGGTAGATCACCAAGAGATGCCAAGAGCGGCCCCAAGCATCCTGGTGTGCAAGGCCCCTATTGTACAGAGAGGAACTGGGGAGGCTCAGAAGGGGCTGGGACCCACTCCAGCTTGGGATACCCTCTGGCCCCACACCTCCTCCCTGACTCCTCTCTGCCACCCACCCCACTCCAGGTGCTGCCCTGTCCTCCAAAGACAGAGCACAGTCGGGCTGGTGTCAGTGGCTGGTATCCAAGGGGCTCAACTGGCGAAGCCCAGAAAGCTTGGAGAAGAAACCTGGAAGCAGCCCACACTCCCCACATCAAAACCAATGTAGACGTGAGCCCAGGCAGGGGCGAGTGGCTTCCTGCGCTGGCCAGGGAGGGAGAGGTCCTGAGTGGGTAGGTTCTAGGGAGTTTCAGGGGGACATGGGCCAGATCTCCCAGCTGTCACAAGAAAGCCAGTGACCCAGTCGACCCAGTCCTTTCTTCTTCCAGACGAAACCCTGCGGCTTCGATGGACACAAGAGGAGGGAAGCAGACAATGGAAAATGGAGCCAGCCAGGGATGGGGTGGGGACCAGCCTCTCCCAGCCCTCACCACCCTCGAGGTGGACAATAAAGAGAAGTGCAGGAGTCTGGGTGCTCTGAATCGTTCGCGGAGGATGGGCCTGCTCAGTCACTGAGGACGGGGAGGAGGAAGGGACCTCTGCACACAGGAAACCACAGTGGGCAGAGCAGAGAAAAAAGGTTGGAGCAGCCTGGGGGACTGGACTCAGCAAGGGCCTCTGAGGCCCAGAAGGCCCGGCTGCAGCAGGGTGACAGCGATTGGCATGGCTCGACCAACCCTAAATGTACCAGTAGCATCTTTGGTTCTCCCCACCCTGGGGGTGGGGGGCGGTCATCATGCCCGCCTTCCAGACGAAGTACCTGAGGAATCTGGGAGCTTGCCCAGGGTCCCATAATCTCCGAGAGACAGAATCAGGACTTGAGCCTATATCTGCCACCCCCTGCGCCTGAAGGAGAAAGAAGCAGAGGGACTAGGGCTCCCAGGAGGAAGGGGACAGTTGAGTCTCAGTGGGTGGGGCTGTGGCTTCTGGGCCTGGCCCCGCCTCTGCCCCTCCCAGCACTGCCAGCAAGTGTGGGGTGAGAGCTCCTCCTGGGACACCCCTTACCCTTGGGGAAGGAATTGAGCCCCCCCAGGCTCTTCCCCGGGAGAGGACCCCCTCCTCCTTCCTCATCAACCCCTCCTGGGGCAGGGAGCACCTCCATCCGCAGCCCCGCCCCCGTCTGGCCCCCGAGACAGACAAGCTGAGATGACCATCAAGCTGGATTTCGAGGAGTGTCTCAAGGACTCACCCCGCTTCCGGTAAGTGTGCACGGGCCTGGGGGGCACAGGGTATGAGGTCCGACCCCCCCCGCCCCAACACACACACACACACACACACACACACACACAATGTGCAACCTTCCCCAGGCCAGATGTCCTCCCGGGGAGTAAGTTCACAAAGGGGCAAGATCAAGCTTGTGGGCCAGAACCTCTGCTATGCAACCCCAGGCTCTGATGCTCTCCACCCCCTTCCCCGGCAGAGGGGGCCGCTCCAGCCCCTCTCACCCACCCTGAGCTAGCACTCCCTTCTCCCGCTCCTGGGGACCCCTGCCCCTCCCCCAGCACCTGCTGGGGCGGTTAGTAACTTCCTGCCCTCACCACATCCACCCTCCCTTTACCCTTCCTGCGCTGGGGCCTGGGCCCTGCTAGCTCCCGCTGCGCAGAGGGAGCGAGCAGAAGAAGGCGGGTGGTCAGGTCCTCTTCACCCATCAGCTTTTGCTGTCTGTCCCCTTACCCACTAACCCCAACCCCAACTCTCCTGGGGCGGGTGGACTGGATGGACCCAAGCTCTGTTCCCGTCACCCCATCCCTCTCTTCCCAGAGCCTCCATCGAGCTGGTGGAAGCCGAGGTGTCGGAGCTGGAGACCCGGCTGGAAAAGGTGACATGGAGAGGTGACCCAGGATGGCATTAAGATGAGAGGGGCAGGGCCAGGGAGAACATTGGAGACCTCGAATGAGTTCCACGCGTTGTGGAATGCCAACCATGTGGGGTGAATACTTTGGGGGCTACAGAGAAGGAAGTGGGGGCTCCGTACCCTCCAGGAGCACAGGGTCTTGGAAGACCAGACTCGCTGTGGGCTTCCTGGGTCAGCTATGAGCCCAGCCTTATGCTGGGCCCTGGGCCTCCAGGGACAGCAGGACGGTTCTGCCCCCAGGGAGCCCACAGACGGCCTTGGGGAGATAAACCAGTGAGACACTTAAACCCGAGACAGGAAGGCCCTCCCTCGCCCTCTTCATGAAATGTGCACACTCCCTGCCCCCCCTCGGCTTGATTTTTCTCTGCAGCGTTCACCCCCCCGCTCACGTGGCATGTCTTTATTTGCCACATTCTTTCTGCTGCCGTCTAAGGAGTTACTGCAAACATAGTGACTGAACCCAGCACATGCCTGTTAGCACAGTATGTGAGGCTCAGGAGGCAGGTGCTGCCCCGCTGGTCCTCTGCTCACAGGCTCACGGGTTGCAGTCCCACCCGAGGCTCAGGGCTCCCCTCCAAGCTCGTGGGGGCGTTGGCAGACTCTCCAGCTCCTTGCTGTGGCAGCACTGAGACCTCCATCTGCTCACGGCTGCCCACGGTCCCCTGCCGACTGGCCCTGAGCAGCTTACTTCATGGCGGCTTGCTTCTTCAAGGCCCGCAGGAGGGTCTTTCTAGCAAGTGCTGCCAACGTGGCATCTAATTACATCAAAACGTGGCTACAGGAGCCGTATGGCTGTCCCCTCTGCCCCATGGCATGTCCCCCTGATCGTGGGGAGCACCGTCTTGTGGCCTTGGCCATATTCTGTTGGGTAGGATCAAGTCACGTGTCTTACGCTGGGGAGAAGGGTGATGCAAGGGAGGGGACCGTCCAGGGTCACCTGAGAGTGTGTCTGTCACACTTGCCAATTTTTATTCTTGTTTGTTTTTCCCCCGCTAGAACCTAAGTGCCATGAAGGACTTTTATGTTCTGTTTTTGCTCAGTCCCCAGTGCCTACGCCAAGTCTGAAAGTTAGCAGACGGCCAATTAATAGATACATATTTTTTATATGAACTTTTTTATTCTTTAAATTTCTTTTTTTATGTATTGAGATTTTTTTTTTAAGAATTTTATTTATTTACTCATGAGAGACAGAGAGAGAGAGAGAGGCAGAGGGAGAAGCAGGCTCCCAAGGAGCAGGGAGCCCGATGCGGGACTCGATCCTGGGACTCCAGGATCATGACCTGAGCTGAAGGCAGACGCCTAACCATCTGAGCCACCCAGGCGCCCTCTTTTTATTTTATTTTTTTTTAAGACTTTATTTAGGGCGCCTGGGTGGCTCAGTTGGTTAAGCGACTGCCTTCGGCTCAGGTCATGATCCTGGAGTCCCGGGATCGAGTCCCGCATCGGGCTCCCTGCTCGGCGGGGAGTCTGCTTCTCCCTCTGACTCTCCCCCCTCTCATGTGCTCTCTCTCTCTCTCATTCTCACTCTCTCAAATAAATAAATAAAATCTTTAAAAATAAATAAACTAAAATGCCTATAAAAAATTAAAGACTTTGGGGCGCCTGGGTGGCTCAGTCTCTCAGAAGCCTGCTTCTCCCTCTCCCACTCCTCCTGCTTGTGCTCCCTACACAGCGAGAGAGGGAACACAAGGAGGGGAGTGGGAGAGGGAGAAGCAGGCTTCCCGCAGAGCAGAGAGCCTGATGTGGAGCTTGATCCCAGGACCCTGAGACCATGACCTGAGCCCAAGGCAGATGCTTAACGACTGAGCCACCCAGGCGCCCCAAATTTCTTTTTAAAGATTGATTTATTTTAGAAAGAGAGCACATGCAAGCAGGGGAAAGGGAGAGAGAATCTCAAGCAGACTCCCCGCTGAGCATGGTCCCTCTCCTCTCCACGCCCCCAACATGGGACTCGATCCCTCAACCCTGAGATCATGACCTAAGCCGAAATCAAGAATTGGACATTTAAGTGACTGAGCCACCCAGGCACCCCTAAGCCTTTTTATTTTGAGTTAATTACAGACTTGTGAGAAGTTGCAGAGATGGTGCAGGGAGGTCCCATGTACCCATCAGCCAGCTTCCCCCAACGGTGGCCTCTTATATAACACTAGTACATTACCAAAACCAGGAAATTGACATTGGCACAATACAACGAACTGTGTGCAGGACTTACTTGGATTTTATTTGTTTTGCATATACATTTGACCTTTGAACAACGTGAGGGTTAGCGGCACTGATCCTCCATACTGTTGAAAATTTACATGTAATTCCTGACTCCCCCAAAACTTTACTGAGAGCCCACCATTGACCAATAACGTAAACAGTTGGTGAACACATATTTCGTGTGGTATATGTATTATATACTGTTCATACAAGAAAGGGAGCTAGAAGAAAGTTATTAAGAAAATCGTAGGGAAGAGGGACACCGGGCTGGGTCAGTCGGTAGAACATGCAACTCTTGCCTCAGGGTCGTGAATTCAAGCCACATGTGTGGGGCGCCTGGGTGGCTCAGTCAGTGAAGCATCTGCCCTCAGCTCAGGCCACGATGTCAGGGTCCTGGGATCAAGCCCCATGGTGGGCTCCCTGCTCAGAGGGGAGTCTGCTTCTCCTTCTGCTCCTCCTCCCCACCCCCACTCGTGTTCTCACTCTCTTTCTCTTTCTGGAGTTACCCCTCCACCACGGGGGTCTTTCTCTCAAATAAATAAATAAAATCTTTTGTGTTTGTTTTTTTTTAAGATTTTATTTATTTATTTGACAGAGAGAGACACAGTGAGAGAGGGAACACAAGCAGGGGGAGTGGGAGGAGAAGCAGGCTTCCCGCGGAGCAGGGAGCCTGATGCGGGGCTCGATCCCAGGACCCCGGGATCATGACCTGAGCCAAAGGCAGACGCTTAACGACTGAGCCACCCAGGCGCCCCAATAAATAAAATCTTAAAAATAAAACAACCACATGTTGGATGTAGAGCTTACTTAAAAAAATAATAAACAAAATTTTGAAAACAATCGTAAGGAAGAAAAAATACATTTATATACAGTACAGTACTGTACTGTATTTATCAAAAAAATGTCCACTAAGAAGTGGATCAGTGCAGTTCAAACCCATGTTCAAGGTCAACTGTACTCTTTTTTTCAAAAAATCTTTGTATATAGTTCGGTGGCACTTAATCACATGCATAGGTTCTTGTAACCAGCATCACATTCAAAACACACAAATCCTGGGGTGCCTGGGTGGCTCAATCAACTAAGTGTCCAACTCTTTTTTTTTTTTTTTTGACAGAGAGAGACACAGCGAGAGAGGGAACACAAGCAGGGGGAGTGGCAGAGGGAGAAGCAGGCTTCCCTCAGAGCAGGGAGCCCGATGCGGGGCTCGATCCCAGGACTCTGGGATCAGGACCTGAGCCGAAGGCAGACGCTTAACGACTGAGCCACCCAGGCGCCCCTAAGTGTCCAACTCTTGATTTTGGCTCAGGTCATGATCTCAGGCTTGTGAGATCAAGCCCCGCGTCTACCTCTGCGCTGAGTGTGGAGTCTGCTTAGGATTCTCTCGCTCCCTCTCCCTCTGCCCTTCCACCTTCCACCACTCATGCCCACACTCTATCAAAAAAAAAAAAAAAAGGAAAGAAAGAAAAAGAAAAAAAGCACAAAACTCCTCTATCACCCCAAGTAACTCTTCTGTGAGACGCTTTATCCTGATACCCTCCCCCAACTTCTCTAACCCATGGCAAGCACTCATCTGTTCTTCTCCAGACTTTCGCCGTTTCTAGAATGTTACATAAGTGAAACCATACAGTATGTGAGCTCTCAAAATTGGCTCTTTCTTTTTCTTCTCTCAGAATATGCCCTTGACGTCTGTTCGGGTTGTTACGTATCAATATGAGCAGTTCCTATGTAGATAGTCTGTTCCTTTGCGTTGCTGAGCGCTATTCCATTGCATGGATGGACCAGTTTATCCCTAGTTCTGTCTTAAGAAAGCTCACATATGGGGAAAGGGTGGTGGGTAGGGAAAAAACCAGACACTCAGGGCCCTAGCTGCACCCAGTGAAGTTGCGAGCGTCTGGGTCCTTGTGCCTGATCACAGACAGCTTGTGGTGACATCTGATGAGGCTGGATCGTGGCCAGTTTCCTGACCATTACTGACCCTGTCGACCATCTCCAAGTCCAGCTCTAGTGTCCTGCGGCCTTCACCAGCCCTCGAAAGTGTCTTTCAGTTCAACAGAAGTTCACTGACGATGCACGGCCCCAGCTTTCTGGGCCCTTGCTGCCCCGGGATTTCCCCACACAACTTCCCGGTGTTGACTCAGGCTAGAGCCAAGTGGTGTCACCTCAGGGGCAGCGGTTCCCAAACTAGGGCCCGAGGTCAGGAGACCTCACTTCAGTTCCTGGCTCTTCCAGAAGGACCCTCCTCGGGCCAGATGGAATGGGCCCCCGGAGCACCCTAACGTGCCATCTTTGCCCTGGCCCTGTGGCCAGATGGCTAAGTAATCTTTGTGAGGGGGATGCTCAGTGAGCATGGAATGGGATGACTCCAGACAGGGAAGCACTGTCGAACCTACCAGCAGCCGGGTGGCGCATTCGTGCCGAGAGCCAGACTGCCCGAGGATGGGGTGTCCGGGGAGCGCTGGATCCAGGCAGTTGGGGCAGGGAGACAGACAAAGACGTTTGGGAGGGGAAGCTGACATGGGCTTTGGTGAGAGGCCGGGAGGGATTTTCTGCTGGGCACAGAGCAGTGGGAGCAGAGACGCAGAGATGAGAAAGCAGGTGTGGAAGGGAGAGTGGGGGGGACCAGTGTGGGGGTGCCAGCACGTACATGGTACGCAGCATAACTCCCCATTGTCCCGTTGCTTCTTAGCTCCTGAAGCTGGGGAACGGCCTCCTGGAAAGCGGGCGCCATTACGTTGCTGCTAGCCGCACCTTTGTTGCTGGCATTTGTGACCTGGCCCGCCTGGGTCCACCAGAGCCCATGATGGTGGTATGTAGAGTGGGCTGGGGTCTGGAATGCAGGGATCCTCTGGAAGGGGAGGGTCGGCCTGGGGTCTCCAGGTGGGAGCAGGCCTGGGGCTGTGGCCTGAGACAGGCCTGGCAGGCTGGGGGCAGGGGCGGCGGGCCCGGCTGGCCCACGCCTGGTACTCTCTCTGCCTCTCCGTGCCCAGGAGTGTCTGGACAAATTCACCGAGAGCCTCAACCACAAGCTGGACAGCCACGCGGTAAGGGGGAGCAGGAGGGACTGGTGGTGGGGAGCAGGGCTGTCTGTGGCCTGACCTTCACCTGCCCATTTCTGCTCCCCCTGCCCCCCTCCAGGAGCTTCTAGATGCCACCCAGCACATGCTGCAACAGCAAATCCAAACGCTGGTCAAGGAGTGAGTCGGGAGGGGAACCAGTCCTCTGTCCCTGTTCCCGTCCCCATAGGGGCCCCCGGAACGGAGCACCTGTGAGGTGGTGGGGGTTTCTGGTGGCCCGACTGCTGCCGCCCATCCCCGCACGCCCTCAGAGTCCCAACTGGAAGGCCATGCGTGGACCTCCGCCTGGGACTTCTCTGCAGGGGGCAGGTGGGGGTATCTGGTTCTGAGTTACCCCTCCACCACAGGGGTCTCCGGGGTTTCCGAGAAGCTCGCCGGGATTTCTGGAGGGGGGCCGAGAGCCTGGAGGCTGCTCTCATCCACAACGCAGAGGTCCCCAGGCGCCGGGCACAGGAGGCCGAAGAGGCTGGAGCTGCCTTGAAGATTGCGCGGGCGGGGTACCAGGGGCGAGCCCTGGATTATGCACTGCAGGTGCCCGCCCTGACCTGTACCCCTCCCCGCCCAATCCCAGGGCCTCTGGCTCCTCGAGCCTGGAGAGGCCCCTGTGTGCAGTGGGAGGGGGCGCTGTGTTTTCAAGACTGACCTGAGGTCTTTTGGGGGCCCTCAGATCAACGTGATTGAGGACAAGAGAAAGTTTGACGTCATGGAGTTTGTGAGTTGCAGTGGTGGTGAGGGCGGGGTGGAGAGGAGCCTGCTGATGGGGGGCAGGAGGGAAGAGGGAGACAGAAGGGTCCCTGTCAGCTCTGCCTCCTGCCCACTTGTTGCCCAGGTGCTGCGTCTGGTGGAGGCCCAGGCTACCCATTTCCAGCAGGGCCACGAGGAGCTGGACAGGCTAGCCCAGTATCGCAGGGAGCTGGGCGCCCAGGTGGGGCCCCGGTGGTGGGGGGGGGGGCAGGCCAGTGATGGAGGGAGGGGAGGGGGCTCTGGGATGTCTGGCCTGGCCCGGTTGGGGGAGGCCGGGGGACATCTGAAATGCCCCCTCCAATACCCAGTTGCACCAGCTGGTCCTGAATTCGGCGCGCGAGAGGAGGGACATGGAGCAGAGACACGTGCTGCTGAAGCAGAAGGTGAGGGAGGGCCTCAGGATGCCGCGGGGCCTGGCGCCTTGGCCTCTGCCCACTTCAGCTGCCCTTTGACCCTCTTGTGCCCCCAGGAGCTTGGTGGGGAAGAGCCACAGCCAAGCCTGAAGGAGGGGCCTGGTGGGCTGCTCATGGAAGGCCATCTCTTCAAGCGGGCCAGCAATGCATTTAAGACCTGGAGCAGGTGAGGGGGGACACCAATCCCCCAAACCCGTTCAGGTCAACGTGTTTTGAGCGGTGACAGTGCGCTAAGCAGTGAGAAAAACAGACAAAATCTGCTGCCTCCAGAGAACTTACATCCTATCAGCAAAGACGCCCAGTAAATTCTGTTATGTTGGAAGGGGCGAGTGATGCAGGAGAAACAGGAGAAAGCAGGGGAGCAGAGAGCTGGGGAGGAGCTGCAGTTCTAGATAGGGTGATCGGGGCAGGCTTCAGGAGAAGGTGATGCCTTCTGAGTGAAGACTTGAAGGACATCTGGGGGGAGAATGTTCTAGGCAGGAGGAAGAGCCAGCGCCAAAGCCCGGAGGGTCAGAGGGACAGAGAGGGGCACATGGGTGTGGACGGAGGGAGGTAGGAGGACATAGGGGCAGATGAAGTTGGAGCCAACGGGGCTGTGCACCACACACAAGAGGGCCTTGTCGGCTTCCAGGCTTCCGTAGGGACTTAGGAGCCGTTGCAGGGGTGGAGCAGGGGGGTCATCTGCTCTGACTGTGTTCCTTCCCATAGGGGATATTTGCACAAATTGGAAAACTGAGCCCCTTCCGTAAGGTACTTCCACCTGTCAAAAAAAAATTGTGGCAAGAGACTCGGGGCGTCTGGCTGGCCCCATCGGTGGAACCTGGGACTCTTGATCTCCGGGTTGTGGGTTTGAGCCCCACGTGGGTGTAGCGATTACTTTAGGAAAAAAAAACAAAACAAAATTTAAAAAAAATTATAGCAGGAGATTAATTTTATTGGAAAAAGCATTTTACTGCCATCTGCTGGAAAGCTGTCTTCACAAATGATCAAATCTGGGTTTCCCGAGGTGTGAGTAGTCCCGCCTTCCGTGTCCTGGCCCCGCCACAGCCCTGTGCCCTCCGGACGGGGTGGGAGGGTCAGCCCGGCTCTCTCAGCGCCATCCTTATGGGGCAGAGGGCACAGCCTCTCCGCTGTCCCTGTCCCAAGCCTGTCCCGATGCCACCCATGTCCACACCTCTGTTTCTGCCTCCTCCAGACGCTGGTTCACCATTCAGAGCAACCAACTGGTTTATCAGAAGAAGTACAAGGTAGGCAGGCCGGGTCCCAGATGCCGGGGCCCAGGGACACGGAGCCCTTGCTGCAACCGGGTGGATGGCTGCCCCTCGCCACCTTCCCTTTCCAGGACCCCGTGACCGTGGTGGTGGATGACCTTCGCCTCTGCACAGTGAAGCTCTGCCCGGACTCAGAGAGGCGGTTTTGCTTTGAGGTCGTGTCCCCCAGCAAGTGAGTGCAGACATCCGACGACGTGTCTGAATCTTTACCAACGGGAAGGCACGGCCGATCACGAAGGCATCTTGGAGGCCCCCATGTAGCACCAGGCATTATCCCTTCTGTGGCTGGATTGGGGGAGGGGGCAGTATTAGGGGGTGTCCTGGAGGGAGGGGATAGGGCAATGGGAGATATTTAGAAAGATCGGACCAATTGTTGCCAAATCTCTCTTCAACTGGTGTTTCATATGTCAGGACAACTGGTACCAGTTGAACGGCATGTCAGCCAGCCTACCCTGCCACATGGCTGCCCAGGCCTCAGAACCCCCCCATCCCCAGCCCTGCTCCCTGCTCCCGCCCAGGTCCTGCCTCCTGCAGGCTGACTCCGAGCGCCTCCTCCAGCTGTGGGTCAGCGCTGTACAGAGCAGCATCGCCACGGCCTTCAGCCAGGCTCGCCTCGATGACAGCCCCCGGGGACCCGGCCAGGTGCCTCCTTGAGGAGGGTGCAGGGCCAGGCGGCCCAGGGAGGGGAGGTACCCCTTCCCCGGGCCTCATGGCCACTCTCTGTCTTCCTCTGTTGCCCCCAGGGCTCAGGATACCCGGCCACAAGCTCCTCGGCTACCCTGGGCTGTGGCGGCATGGCCCGGGGCAAGGAGCCCGGTGGAGCTGGGCATGTGGTAGCCCAGGTGCAGGGCGTGCACGGCAATGCACAGTGCTGTGACTGCCGGGAGCCAGCCCCGGAGTGGGCCAGCATCAACCTGGGCGTCACCCTCTGCATCCAATGCTCCGGCATCCACAGGTCACTCCCCGCCACCCGCCACCCGCACAGGGGCCCCGCTCCTTCCTGCTGGGGGTGGGAAGGGGGCGGCTAGAGCCCATCGCACAGGCTCCTCCCTCCCACCCTGCCCTGGCTGGCACTGGGCACCATGTCCTGGTCTGGCCGGAGGAGTCTGGGCTTGACTGGAGGTGTGGGGTCTGGGCTCTTGAGGGCAGGGGAGCCCACGAAGAGCAGAGAGAGGAGGGAGGCCCTCCACCCCGAGGGGAATGGCAGGGCCAGAGAAGGGAGGTGGCTGGAGAGGAAGGGGAGGAGGGAACAGGGAGCAGAGCCAGGCCTCGCGGCCTGTGGCTGCCACGCTCACCCGCCTGCTGCCCCACGGAGGGCCTGACTCCCACTCTGGCCCGCCAGGAGCCTCGGGGTTCACTTTTCCAAAGTCCGGTCTCTGACCCTTGACTCGTGGGAGCCGGAACTGGTGAAGGTGACTTGGGGTGCTGCGATGAGAAGCAGGGGAAGGGGGGTGAGTCCAGAGCTGCAGGGCCCCGAGGGCTCAGACCCTCACCTCCCTCCCACCTGTCTGTCCCTGCCTGGGCCACCTGAAGCTTATGTGCGAGCTGGGGAATGTCGTCATCAACCAGATCTATGAGGCCCGCGTGGAGGCCATGGCCGTGAAGAAGCCAGGGCCCAGCTGCTCCCGGTGAGGTTGGGGTAGAGGTGCGGGGGCTGCCTACTTGTGGGGAAGGAAGAGGGTCTGGGACCGGAGGAGGGAAGACGGCCCCCCACTTCCCCGCCATACTCCGCCAGGCAGGAGAAGGAGGCCTGGATTCATGCCAAGTACGTGGAGAAGAAGTTCCTGACCAAGCTTCCTGAGGTTCGAGGGCGAAGAGGTGGCCGGGGGCCCCCCAGGGGTCAGCCTCCTCTGCCCCCCAAGCCTTCCGTCAGGCCCCGGCCAGGGAGCCTCAGAGCCAGGCCAGGTATAGCATTGCTCGGACATTCACGGAGCCCGGCTGTGTGCCCAGCACTCTGCCAGGCCCGGTGAGGAGGCACAGAGCACGAGGCCCCAGCCTTCCCCTTGCCAGTGTCAGGGGGCGGGAGGCGGACCACACCAGCGCTGGTATTTTTGACAAGGCAAGAGTTTCAGGGGTTCAGTGAAGAATGGGAGGGAGCGTAGCAGGGCTGGGGATAGGCAGGGAGGGTCTCAACAGCATGAGAAAAGTCAGGAGTGAGAAGGAGCTCGCCACCCTAGAGGCCTGTGGAGGGTGTGAGCTTGGCTGGAGCCCAGGGAACCAGGTGGCTGCGGCTGAGTGTCCGCTCACTTGTGACGTTCTGGGCAGTCCAGGTAGTTGAACAGGAAGAGGTGAATGATGTTATCCATGCCCCATGCCTTAGGGGCCCTGCACACACACCCGCACCTCCGCCTCCCACTGCAGCCCCCGGAGTCCCGAAGGCCTCCCTGCAACTGAGGAATGGCCTAGCCTATTAGAGCATCTGGGGACTGGGCTGAGGATTTCGTACCAGACTCACAGCCGATTCCCTCCACCAGAGCCCCCCTCCGATGACCTGGGCAGCCTCCACCCCGGGGCCCTGCTGTTTCGAGCTGCCGGGCACCCTCCATCCCTCCCCACCATGGCCGATGCCCTCGCCCACGGAGCCGATGTCAACTGGGTCAACGGCGGTCAGGAGAACGCCACTCCGCTGATCCAGGCCACAGCTGCTGTGAGTCTTGCTGACCCCCCCACCCCACCCTTGGGCTCCTTCCCTCTGATTCCTACTCTGATTTGGGGCCCAGCTCTTACCCCTCCTCCTACCCTGTTAGGAATGATACCCGAGAGAGACTGGTTGCTAAGGGTGTGTGTGATTTGGAAGCAGGCGGCCTGGGTTTGAATCCAAGCTCTCACCACTCACGGTTGTGAACCTCTCTGCGTGCGTCAGTTTGCTCATCTGTAAAATAGGGATAACACACCCCATGAGGTTGTACTGTGGACCTAACGTGAGAATACAGCTAAAGGGCTGGAGCAGAGCCTGACGCGGCCATACCCCAGCCCCTGGCCTGACCCCATCCTAAAACATCTTTGGTCTCCTTCTAAAGATGCCACTTTCTCTCCCGTTCTCAACCCCTCCGTGCAGAATTCTCTTCTGGCCTGTGAGTTTCTCCTCCAGAACGGGGCGAACGTGAACCAAGCGGACAACCACGGCCGGGGGCCGCTCCACCATGCAACCATTCTGGGCCACACGGGGTAGGGTAGGGGCGGGCAGGGAGGATCGCTGCGGGAAAGAAGGGCGCGGATGGAGTGAGTGGCCGGCTGAACCTGGCTATCCTTTTCAGGCTGGCCTGCCTGTTCCTGAAACGGGGGGCCGATCTGGGAGCTCGGGACTCTGAAGGCAAAGACCCTCTGACGATCGCCATGGAAACGGCCAACGCTGACATCGTCACCCTGTGAGGATGCCTGGGGGTTGGGGCTAGCGCTTGCCCTACCCACCTGGGGCGGAGCCAAACGCCGGGACCCGCGTGTGGGCGGAGCTTGGAGAGCCCCGGGCCTGCTCTGGGACCTGGCCGGAGAAAGGCTGTTCCGAGTGCAGACTGGGGCGTGGAGTAGGAAGGGGGGCGGGTAGCGTCCACGGATGGTGAGTTCGTCCCGAGTGAGGGGCTTCGTGGCTCGTGAGCGTCTTTAAGCACTGGATCCCAGGGGAGCAGGTGAATTTAACCACCCCAGCTCAGAGGATGGGAGGTTGGGGTG